TAATACCAAAGTTAGGCCGGCCTAACTATAATGTGAACAAGCACCTGATCAAATCAATTTCGTGAGCTTTGTTGCGCAATATCCAAAGTTTTCACAATCCGTGACAACGAAGGTGAGTGTGAGAGAAGCCAATTTGACTGCCGAAAAAACAAAATCATGAAAGACACGAAAAAATCGCAGCCCGGTTAGGAGATAGATAGAGAGAACGGAAGCACAAGTGAAAAGAAATATGAGTTGGCGGATTTTAAGGCAGTAGTTGACAACAACCATCGTAGTGGCGAAAGTCTTGCGATTTTTTCACATGTTCTCAAAACTATTTGTGTGTACCAATTATTGTCTCGTCTCACCATTGTTTCCGAGTTTCCGTTCAATAGTTCAAAACAAACCATATACACAGTTTATCCACTGAAACTGTGTCGTATCCCAAATCAAATTAAACAATTATTTTGTGCTCACTCAACGACTCAAATTATTTGGAAGAACTCCAGGGCGATTTAAAACACCATTCCGATGAAACTACAGACTACGTCTTCGTCGAGATTGGCTACGTAAATACTGACAAACTGCGAGAAGAAACAAGACGTTAGACGTAACAATTCTCCTTTCCATCGTCTAAATAACGTCCCAACAATGTAAAAGCGATCCAAATTTTAATCTTGTTTATTCAACAATGAAAAAGAAGAATAAATGGTCCGGCCTTGAAACTGGCTAAAATTGGTATTATTATACAGAATGAAACATGCAATTGTAAAAGGTTGCGTTGCAATTTCTCCATTGGACCCAGCTTCCAATAAAAACATCCAGAATTTTCTCCATTCGCAATCAGCTATTTCATCACATTTCTAATGGTCAGTATGTACACACATATTCCATAAATTATGGTGACATTTATGATTTAAGTGAGTATAAACTAGCTACGGGCGACCGTCTGACATTTCAGAAGCCGTGTTTACACATAGACGCGGGCGCAAGTATAAAACAAGAGCGACAAACTGAACCACTCCTGACACACGAGACATAAAATAAGAAGCACCAAACGATATACGACGTCAACCAACAAGGCCGTAGGAAGCAAACATTAGTTGGTCCGGCCATCCATCGAGGGCCGTAGGTCCGAGGCGTATGTTGACGTGCGCCGAATGATCACGTCTGCTAAGGGGGACGTGCAGAAGTACACCGGCCATAGCCGGTATGGCCGGCACGGTTCCTACGGCCTCGACCAATTCTGAAATTCTGTGCGGAGTTCCAGTTTCAGCGCTAGCCACGTGTAGTGTGGCGACCAAAGACTGTCCGACCGATATAGTCGTTTTACGAGTCCATAATTATCTCCCAGTATTCACCGTATTCATGTAAAAAATAAGTCGAGGCACGATACATTGTTGGCCGGAATATTTTTCAGTTGTTCAACCTGTTTACAATTACATTGGGAACGCCGATAAATTGGCTGATAGGGCTATGAGGAATAATAATACTTATTATTGCACAATTCGCCTTAAATAAAGGTGTAAACCTTTGCGGGGGAGTCGTCACTTGCGCATGCGTTAGATAGCTAAAGCGTGTTATTGTTTACAAACAAGCGTCTACCATGACTCTTTGCGTTTTTAGCGTGTGTTGTTATTGTCGCTTGGGACTCAATTTCCGCGCGTGTGCAGGTGACGCTCCTCCCGCTTTAAAATCTCGAATTCGAATCGTTTTCCGATATATGTTACTGTCTCATAAACCAGAACTCACATCGAACAGCTCGAATCAGACCAAGAGTATATATATTTAAAAAGAAAATACCGTTACTACCGCCGGATGTGGTTATTTCCCAACTTGTACTATGCAGACGTCAATTTCACTTTTTAGTTACGCGCTAAATTTCCTTTCGTCTTTCGAATGAGTTAGTCTGAAATAACGATCTGTCCAATGACGGGACTTAGATTTATTTACCGAGTAATTTTCTGTCATTATATGGAACATGTTTTATTATATTCCGTCCATCAACGTAAAATGAACCTACAGACCGGAAATTAAAACAAGAAACTTGTTAATGAAAAATTGATGTAAGTCGCATTACGTCATCAAAGTGGTAGGACGCTATAACTAGTTTCAGAAAACAACTCAACACACACTGATACCGAATCTTTTCAACATTGACTTTGACTTTTAACCTAGCAGGCAAGAATAATGTAGAGCGCTAATGTCGCACTACTCAAAACGCAACTGTATAACTGCGTCTGACTACAGTTTGCAGCAAAATTAATTTTCCACTAAAACACTGATGCATTTTCAGTGGCTGTTTTTTTGAATTTATGGAAACTACATATTTTAACAAATGTGGTAAATGCTGTATTGGTGTACATTGCAGTGGGAGATATAGAATAATTGTGAAATTCGAGGTGGCCGATTGGCAAAAGGGTTGAGTTTTTGGATGCCTCGGCCGCATACAGCTGATTGTTATGATTCGTTGGCGGCCGAGCGTGGAGATGTTTGGGTGGTTGACTAGTTAATCGAGTCAGCGTACGCACTATGTGCGTATTTTCGTATATAGGCTGTTGCGGATCGGAGAAATGTCTCTGCGGACTGGTTTGTATGTAAGTAGATCAGGTGGTCTGTTTTCAAAAATCTTATATCCAAACAACTACAGTAATTCGTTACATACATGGCTGACACGAGAACCATGCGCCCGAGTTGGGATCAAATATGTGAACGAATGCACAACACAAGTGCACTATCTGACTTACAATACGTCAACCACACCTAGGAGTTTGCACTCAGGCTGGCTAGTCACATTCAACTGATTTTGTTAGCATAAATGTGTACACGTGTTTTTGTTTTCATTCATCACATATTTTTGTATAATCAACTTATGAATTGTTATAACTACATTTTGAAACCAAGGTTCGAAAACTGACCACTGAATGACTTGTACTAGCGAGTTCAAATGTATTATCAGTAATTGAAATAAAGGACTCCGCGCTACACATTATTGCGTGATAATGGCCGTAACTGCGTCTCCTCCATCTTTGTCACGTTCTTTAATATTGTACAATCATGTAAGATAGTGTATGAGGCGCAGGCGAGCACATCGCGTCTAGACCTTTCCCTGAAGCCAATATGACGCTGTTGGTTTTTTTTTTATCACGCAATAATGGACAGTATATCGCCCTTTATACCCTAAATAATCACAGTTTCCTAAATTGTTACTCAGTGACAGCATTAAATATTAGATTTACGTATTTCAAATGCACTGAATATTGGCGAGAACAATGTCACTTTCACGATAACCTTTTTCAACGAATCATATAACGCAGCCTGTCAGTGCAACAATGTATCGGTACTGTGTTAGTGTCGATTTATTCAGATGGTGGTTCAGGAGCGTTGAATAACTGTTAATATTTGAAATTCGGGTCTTCGCCTTACGCCATTTTTTTTTTATCCGTATATCATTAACCATGTGACAGCCATAACTGATATTTGGTGATTGACCGGGATGCATATGACATCATTTAATGACACTGAATATATTAATAAATTAATCAATATTATTTGACGATAACAATAATTATCTAATTCAGCCGTCGATTAAGTGTATTAAGAATTAGTGGAATGTTGTGAAGGTGAATTCACTTTTCTGCTGGATAGCGACATTTTTCATTCCACACGAAAACCAGTCTGTCGGTGACTGGCAAATAATTGTCTACATCGATATATGGGCTGGGAATGTATGTACAGTTGACGTCCGTGCTATATACTGACTCGTGTCGTTCAAACACTGGCGGGTCGATACTGGAACAATATTGACTCGTGCTTGCTGCCCTTGGCAACACTAGTCAGTCGTTTTTTTTTTGTTCACGTCTTCTCTTGACTACTTGCATGGGCTTATCGGACTCGGATTGCAAACGCTGGCACGAAAAATCGACCAGGACATTTTTGTTTCTCTGGACTTAAAACCCTATTACACGACTGAATGTGCTCACTGTTTTTGTGATAATCGCCAGTGAAACGGGAGTTTGGCTGATTACTGTCAAAGCAAGGCAAGCGTTTTCGCTAGTATTGCGATTGAGCACACAACCCATTAACACATAACTTTATCGTGAAATCTACAGATGTTCCCTATAGCCGTATGGCAATACAGAGGTACGATGATCGACGCTCTCCGAAAATCACTCTAAACAAACGTTATGATGGGGTAATCTCTTTTTTCATTATTTTCAATTATTCTTTTTTTATAACCTAGACAGACACAACTAAATGTGTCACCCCTTTTTGTTTGGTGATAATAATAATACCCTACGTTGGCAAAGATGTAATTCATCTCGGTCTTTGATAATATTTTGATGTGGAAACGTCAACTAATGTGACGGCAAATATTATTTTTATGTGGACTTATGAGTATCCGTCGATACTCATAAGCATATTCTCTTCACAGCAGGGAGTCTAACTAACATAATTAGAGGCGTATGCAAATAATTAAATCGTTTAACCATCTACCGTCGTTAAGTTCTGTCGACACCGAACAGATCTTTGCTCGTTGTAATGCATTTGCTATTGACCTTTGCAGCATAACTGCCATTTCCTGTCTGGTCGAGATATCCTTGCCCGTATTGGCCTACTATAGAACGTGAACGTTTGCATTTCGATCCCGGTGTATTTCTTGTTCGTGTAAACGATTTGTCGAGGAGTATATTTTATAATAATTTAGGGTAATTATGATTAAGGCAGGGGAGCTCCTTCAAAACTTGTTTTCAACTTAAAGGGCAGTGGTTGTCTAATGGAAGTAACCGAATGCAAGATCGTGCGTGTCAGTCTGTAAGGATTGTCATGGAAGTGGCGATGCATTGCTCGTCATTGTATTGAGATATACTTAGTATATGCACTATTCCCACCCTCAATTATTATTAGTAAGCATATTTGTCCCCTTAGCCGTTTCGATCACAGTATCATGTCATTATTAAATTAACAAATACTGCATTAACAATAACTGATATAGCTCCTTCGTTTTTATCTCTCTTCAGACTGCCTTAGTAACTGTTAACGGACTTTATACTGTGGCTGTGGTGTGTGAAAAACGCACATGTTAGTCTGACGCCAGCAATGAGATGTAGCCGCCTATCTTACTGTTAATAACTACACATCGGGTTCGTCTGCGGCGGATCGACATATTTCCAATATAAACCTGTATTTATGGCTACTACCATGGCAGAAATTAATGTGACGAAGAAAGACATTCAGAAATCAATGTTGGCGTACACAGACCGTGCGCGTGAGATTTCTCACCAAAGACTCTTATCTTCAGTTCGTTCACCTACCCTGGTGAACGACGACGCCTTTCAATACAGTTTTAAAGTTGCCAATTTAAACCGCGTTAGCCGGTCCGAAGAGATACCATCTGAGTCGCCGGACCCGGATGTAAGGATTGAACCACTGTATCGATCAGCAAGCACGTGTACCCTGAGAACCGATCTACCCGATTCACGGACACACCCAGAGATTTGGCGGAAGCCATTTCTTCCCGCCATCGACCAGAAGTCGTCACAGTCATTCAGCATGTCGGAACTCTTTAATTCAATGACATCAGTGTCCAACAGCATTAGGCGACAACGGAACCGCGGCGGTTCGCGTATTGAAATCGTCGACATTTTGCCTTATCCAGACTTCGATGTCGACTCACAATATTCTACCCCTAGAGTAGTTAAACCGATGTCCTTGCAGAACTCCCCGATGCTCAATTTTGGTAAAAAAAGAAACTTTTATTCAAAGAAGAATACGAAAAGACCGCCTACCCCGCCAAGAATAAGTCATAAACAGCTGAGGAAAAGACGCGCTAAGAAGAAAAAACGCAAGGGAGCTTCAGGAAAAGACGATGCCAAGAAATTCCCCATCAAAAAACAGTTTCTTTGGTCTGAACTGATGGAGCAAGAACTGAAAAGCTACATTCCTGAGCGACAACCAGGTAGCAATTTAAAACCAATGTACAAACGAACACCAGAGGGCGATATTTACATACCTGAATGGCCGATTGAAATCGGATTAGAAAAACTTGTCACGAGAAACATGGAATCGCCAGCTGAAAAACAGCTTAGCGGGGCTTATGCCGACGAAATCAAGGCATTAATGGAGCGAAATGCCAGAAAAAAGATTGAACGTGAGGCAGCGGCAGCAAAGAAAAAAGCTAAAAAGAAAGTGAAATTTGTTCTTCCTAAAGGTTATGTGAGTAACCGAGATAGTGATAGCAGTAGCGAAGGCAGTGATGAAGAATATGATTTGGATGAAGAGATCTCGCAAGAAATATCCAGCAAGACTAAGGATAGTGGCTCAAACGAAAGCCCCCCGAGTAACGAAGAATCATTATTAACGGGGATTCGCGACGGAGAATCGGGGAGCGACGGGTCCCGCTCAAATGGAGCGGAGAATGGCAATCCGTCGCCGCGGAGTTCGGACACGCCGAACAAGGATGGGAGAACGTTCACCCCTTCCTCCATAGTCGTGGAGCTGAAATCAGTTGAACCTGTGGAACTTCCTATATCCGCAAATTCGAGATTGTCATCAAAGAATGAGCTTGACATGACATGACTTGACCTCTGACACCTTTCCTATATATTATATTCTTCTATGACGTAAATGAGGGACACGACGTTCGTTCAAAGCGTCGATGTCGTTTTGATCTGAAGACGAACGATCCCCCAACCAAACATAGTAGTCGATTGAAACGATCGTTGCCTTCACCAATATACGTCATTTTTTCGTCACTAGAGGGCGTGATTTAAAGAAATGGTGTATAACGATTGGTGCTTATACATCTATAATAGTAATATATTGTGGATTTAACAAAAATCATTCAGCATTGATTCCCAGGCCCACCTTTACAAGCTAGGAGTGAATTAAAAAAAAACGTCGCGTATACCCACGACTCAGAAGAGAAGAGTTTGTTTTGTCTGGCAAATTTAACTGAATCGAACGTCGTGACGTCATACGTAAATATGTTATGAATAATATAATGTCTGTGCTAAATTGTGGCAACTATGCACTGATCATGATTCGCTGTGTGACACTATCTCCTCCCAACTCAACCGTCATAGTATTTATAGCCAGCTGGGTGGAATGACGGTTAAATTATATTTAGGGGGGGCGGTAGTTAAATTAAAGTAAAATTTCAGAGTCACGATTTTTGGTTTAGTGAGTTCAACTTGGTTATTGTCAGCTATACTATTGAAATTGCTCAAACGTATCTCACGCATTTGTTTAGCCTGTCGAGTGACTCTGATTTGAACTGGTCGCTGAGTAACTGCTATATTTACAATGCATTGTTTTTGTGTTATTGTATTTGCACCACCCGTATAATGATGAACACCATGACGTCATAGAACCGACATTATGCATGTCAAAAGCTCATTTATGAAATGTGTGTTCATGTGCATCGCTTGTGCCATCTGATGTTAATATCTTGTATTTTCACCTGAAGTTATAATATTGATCATACTTCTTATGTTTGTTTGTTTTTATACATCAGGACATTAAAACTGTAAACAAACGTTGTCATTTATATATTTGAACTTGACTCAGTCTGAATCTACGTGTACGAATTAGTCATCGGTTAATTAGAAATACAATAACCTGAATGTGTGCGAACACAGACTATGAATTCCCTTATTAATAACTGCCGAAACGTTTTTTTTAGGATATTCAGTATTCAAAAGGGTACAAGAATATGTTAACAATGTTATTAGATTAGTATGAAGCTAGATTTGAGAAGGTTTAACCGATAAATAATGTCGAAACAGTTGATTAAATTAATCACATATACGCCCCTCTGTAGTATATAAACCTTAAAAACACCATAGAGCGCCAGGTATTTTTTAGGTGATTGGAAGGTATCGAAGGAGTCACCGGCGGTAATTAGTGCAAGTCGATCGCGCCCAGGTCAAACCTCTTACTTGTGATTTCCATTAGAAAAGCGCATTTGATTGTGGGAAAATCGATGTTTAAAAGTCGCACACTCGTAGCGCGACGACCACCGCTCTTTAATTTTACTTCCTATCGCTGCTCTACATGAACGGCAGAGGGCGCTGAACAATTCATTACACTCTGGCAGCTAATAGAATCAGCGGAACCTTTGTAGTGACTCGTAAATGACTACTGACGTAATCTGAATTTACACGATTGATTACATGACTGTTAAAACTAATTACTACTTTTTCCCGTTCGATGTTTACTTTAATAACGAAATGAACACTCGATACAACGACATATTTCATTAATGCATATCATTAATGCATTTCATTAATATCTATCTTAAGTAGCCTCTTATTTACAATTTATTTTCGCTCAAAATGCCAACCAATTTTGGGAAGGTTAGAGATGTGGGTATAAAGTATTCTAAACAGGGCCCAGTGATGGACTGCCGTGAATACTAATACATTTTGTATTTATCTACGGAGTGGAGAGGGACTCGTTATCAATGATCTTGTCGCGTTTCTTATTATGACGCACACGGAGCCATCCCTTGCATATAGCCACCGTCTAGTGTAAATTCACCAAATGAATGCAACTTTGTCAGGATTTCTCGGTGTTTCAAATCAAATATTTATCAGCTATCTAGTGGTGTGGTAGATAGATAATTGGGGAACGAGGTAAGTGAACAGTGCAGTGGGATTTTAAAATTACCTTTCTGAAAATAGCAAAATACAATATTTTTTTCAGTGCCAACAAATAAATAAGGCATAACCATCATTTAAATTGAAATGCTTATTAGTCAAGTACAGGGCGCCCTCAGTGTTTTTGACTGGAAGGGAATTATATGGTCCTACCGTAGGTAACGCCAGCAATGGTCTATGTTTATGAGCCGAATGAGAGGGCATTACGCAAATAAAGCCGAGGCCGCAGCTCGAGGTCTTTTATCATTGAGAGAATTTTATACCCAGAGTACATGGGTATTACAATCTTGCATTTTATAACTAATGCATAATGATTAACTCATGAATATTCACGATTTGTTTCAAGAGTCAATGACCACCGCCATCGAGTTTCAGGTAGATCAAAGAATAGTGTATATCTAAAAAAAACGTAATTTCAAAGCTGTCATGTGATGTATAAATCGAGATCCCAGATGTTGCCATAGCAATGATACAAGTTAAAACTGGGCAATTTACTTTAAAGCGGTATGGATGCAGCTGAGGAACTCCTCATTTTACAAACTCGTGGTAATATAGCTGTCAGTTCATAGCTCTTCCTATATCGATCTTTAAACTTTGTGATGGTATTTTAGTCATTTCTGGCATATTTTGTGTTATTAAATTTGTTTTCAGATAATATGATTTTTATCAACTCGGAAGAGCTATGGTTCCTCCCATAGACTTGCGTAATACAAACTAATATCTGAAAATAACAAATTTAATGACACCAAATACCATCACAAAAGCTAAAGACCGACACAAGAAAAGATATAGATCCACAGCTAATGGTTATAATAAAAAACAAGAAAGATCGCGAAAAGATAATAGCGAGTATGATTGTATTCACTTAGCCGGCTCGTCAAGTATTTGAGGGGGGGCCTCAGTGTTTGAATTATTGTCTTATTTACGCATACTAGTATTCGATCGAAACTCGTATATTGACGATCATACTATTATATTTCACATAGCGAATAGGCAAAACAATAAGCGAACAAAATCATTATAATAATGAATCAGACTTCGATTTATTTGTTACGCATCGCAATAGATCATTCAAATGTATATATGTATAATAATGAAATCTGATCGGAGATTGCGAAAACGTTGAATATAACTGTTATTATTTCCCTTTGCATTCCCTGTAAATAAATTGCCAGTAATCTGGATGCAAGTGTTCCAAAACATTGAGACCAGATCAGTATTGGTAATATGCCATTACATTTACTGTATCATGTCACTGTAGTGGTGGGGTATATATTCGCGTCACCGTCCTTAACTATTTTATTGTCGACGTGATCGGTACAGTGTTGCACATAACTGACAATGAAGTGTTACATTTTAAACCATTTCAAATCATTGGTGTGGATTGGTGAGGGTCTGACCAGTCCAGTTTTTCGTGGTGCCCTATCTATTCAATTTTCTTTTCTTGAGTGTACCAACAGTTTATCCAGTGATTTGTTTGTCTCCTGACCAGCTTTTTCCAATTTATCGTACACTAATATAACCCATATATGAAGCCAGTAAAATAAAACTATATGATACACACCCGAAAGTCAATGTTGTAAGTACCAAGTGAGTTTCTTCAATTTTAAACCATTTGCAGACATATTTTCTAGAATCGGTCTCGCAGAATCATTATCTTCGTTTCCTAGGTATGTCTATGTCAATATACCTGCCTAATAAGATTCAAGACAATTGTTCATGTAATTGGAAGAGACCAATAGTAACAATGACATTATATAAGCGCAAATCGACATCGACTAACAAGATATGGGTAGAGAAAGAAATCTACCAACATTAAATCAACATGTACAACGTGTTCTTTTTATTAGCATCAACACTACTGACCTGAGCTTACCCCTCATGTTTAACATATTAAATACCTGAGTATTTTGCACTTTCTGTACACATTTTTCCGGGAAATTGCACAGGCTTAGTTATGGTTAGTTTGTAAAACTGAATCCCTGCGTTTATATTAGTTTAAGAACTTCTGTGTTGTATTTTTTAAATGGAATTGGTGACAAAGTAAAATAACGTAAACGACGTCCAGACAAATAAGGTACTATGTAGTTATAGTATTTAAATGTGCACTGGAAGAGCTTTCTTTTTCTTTCCTCTTCGTGGCTTCCGTAAAGGTTTATTTGGATCACGTCTGTAAAGGGCAATCTCGTGTACTTCTACATGCTCCGTGAATCGTACTCTTCGTTTTCCCATTGTAAATGCTGATAAAACAGACTCATCATCATTGAGGCCTTCAAGATACGACTTCATCGATGCATCATTGGTGAATTCTACGCCAGAAGCAATGCTCGGGACAGCTAGAGAGCGTTCCGCTGTGTCGCCTTGAGTTTTGTCTGCACTATGTTTCAAAACTGGTGCGTCTCCCTCTTGCGGTCCCTTAACCAGTCGACTACGCCCCCATCTTGACCTGTCCATACCATCTGACACAACACTCCATTGGACGTTCGACTTCGTGAAATTCTCGATTTGTTTCCCAAGCATCACCTCGGCTTCTTCAATCTCTTGACAGTTGTGACAACTCCCTGTTTTGTTTCCATGGATACATAGCATTTCGCCGTTTCTTCCACCCAGCTTTCGTACTCTCCCTTTTGATCGCTTATCCTCCAGCACGGTTGAGTGCATGAATGATTCGTCCACGAAGGATGTTACATCCGATAAGGTGATCGTGCCACCTGGGTATTTAGATGGATTGGAGCTGGTGTCGTACATCACAGTGTATCGCGATGAACGTTCTTGATCTTTTTTCTTGGCAAGTATCCTGTGACTTTCACCAAGAGTTGTTTTATCTCGATTTTGAGGCAGCGCTGTGCTGTTGCTCACATAATCTGCTTTCAGTGATAGTCGCGATCGTTGTTTTATAGCCTCTGAACCATGGTTTGT